CTGCTGCACGCAGCCTGCCCGCACGTCTCGTCCTGGATATGCCTAGCCATGCAGCCACCACGTCTGGCCTTTGACTCGGCCGTTATCATCAGAGCTGTTGGCGATACTGCTTCTGTGTCGGGAGCCAGCACGCGGCGTCGCACCCCTCGAATGGGCGACGATTTGGGCGGAGTTGCCTTGGCTCATACAAATGCCATGCAGAAGTTGTATTTGGGCGGCAGTGAGGCGACACCACTAGAGGTTCGGGAAGCGAACTTCATGCGCGCGCGTATCACAGCATCGCGAGCTCTGGGCGCTCTCTCGCACTACCTGGTGCAGCCGGCGCCAGGCGTGCTTTATACCCCACAGGTGGAGAGTCCTACGGAGTGCTATACCAAAGTGTTGCTGGGCCATTTAAATGCGCACTCGGCGGTGCAGCGCATTGTGTGCGGTTTGATAATTGCCTTCTGGGCACTGGAGGATGAGCCTGTGCGACCTGGACCACCAAATCTGCAGGAAAAGCTGCATCAATGTGTGTCAGAGTATTTTTACTATGACGAAGTAGCCATGTCGCTAACACGACTGCTGCAGGAGGCACAGGACTTTATAGCGACACTGAAGCAGAACAAAATACCAATCAACGACTTCAATAATGCCAAGATTCTCACGCTCGATCAGATCGAAGCGGTGGCCAACACGCTGAGTGACAATCTGCGCAGCTATACGCTCAAACCAAAGGTGCTGGACATGCTGCTGGAACGAAAGCGCAGCCTGCAGACCTCCTATCAGCAGACGACCAGCGAACAGGGCGCCTATCACGTCAGCGCTCAGGCGGCATTGGCCAGTGCCATCTGTGCGCTGCATTGTCTTCCTGACAAGCTAAATCCCGTTGTCAAGCCATTGATGGAGTCGATCAAGCGAGAGCAATGCGTTCCCTTGCAGCAACTATCAGCCGAATTCTTGGTGCACCTCATGGACCAAGTTTGTGACCGAAATCCTAGTCCCAATAGCAAAATCATGAACAATCTCTGTACGCTGCTGCGCAGCGATGCGGAGTATACCCCCAAACTAGTAAGTGCAATCAACTTTGGTATCCTCAAGTACCCCCATAATATAACTAACATATGTCCTGTATTTAGGCTGTGCCGTTGCACACGTTGTTGGAGACACGGCCGACTACCAGCGTTAGTGAGAACGACAATTGCGACTATTACGGAATACTTACGCTTAAGCAGCAACAGGCTGCGACCAGTGCGCCCAGCAGCGGCAGCAGCGCGGGCACTCGAACGGGCGCCACGACCCTGGCAACAACGCCGAGGGGACCGGGCAGGCCGCCGGCCAGTGAAGTATTGGCTGCGGCGGCGGCGGCTGCGGCCAGTTGTGATTTCAGTACCCGGCAGGCCAAAGAGGCCGAGGCGCGACAGTGTCGAATTCAGCGATTGGGAGCCGCCTGCGCCATAGCCAAGCTTTGCAGCACATTCGGGGAGCGCATTGTGGACAAGGTGCCCATATTTCAGCAGTTGATGTTCGGCAAGCTGGAGCAATTCGTGGCCAGCACGAATGCGCAGACGCTAGCTAGCACGCTCCCGGAACTGACGTCATGCAACGAATTAATCAGCTCACTGCAGCTTATCGAAACGGCTGCGCCGCATTTGCACGTTGCGCTGCATGAGCAGCTGTTTGCGCTTCTGCCACATCTCGGCTTCATTGTGCGGCATCCGTTGAAGGTATTGCGTCACATGGCTGCTCGGTGCATCGCCATCTTGGCTGAGATCGATCCATGCCGCACCATGCAATTCGTGGTGACGGAGCTGCTGGGGCTGCTACTCAAGATAGAGCAGCCGATTGAGCGACAGGGCGCTGTGGAGGCTATTGAGCGGATAGTCAACCGACTGCAAATCCGCGTAGTGCCATATATAGTTCTGCTAGTGGTGCCACTGCTTGGTGCTATGAGTGATGCGGATGAATCGGTCCGCTTGCTGGCCACCCACTCCTTTGCCACCCTAATCCAACTGATGCCATTGGACAGCAATGAGAGCGGGAAGACAGCAACACAGATCAAAAGCGAGCCGCTGCTAGAGCGCAAGACGCGAGATCGTGAGTTCCTCGACTATCTGTTCGCGCCAAAGACTATACCCGACTATCGTGTGCCGGTGACGCTCAGTGTGGAGCTGCGCGGCTATCAGCAGGCAGGCGTCAACTGGTTGTGGTTCCTCAATAAGTACAATCTGCACGGCATACTCTGCGACGATATGGGCCTGGGCAAGACCCTCCAGACCATCTGCATATTAGCCGGTGACCATGTGCAGCGCCAGGAGGCCAAGCTGGCGCCACTTCCCAGCCTAGTCATCTGCCCACCAACACTCACAGGCCACTGGGTGTACGAGGTGGAAAAGTTTCTGGCCCAGTCGCCAGTTTTGCGGCCATTGCATTACTTCGGCTTTCCCATTGGACGCGAGAAACTGCGGAGCCAAATTGGCACTAGCTGCAACCTGGTGGTCGCTTCGTACGACACCATTCGGAAGGACATTGACTACTTCAGTGGCATCCACTTCAACTACTGTGTGCTGGACGAGGGGCACATCATAAAAAATGGAAAGACGAAGAGCTCCAAAGCCATAAAACAGATAAAGGCGAACCATAGGTTAATCTTGTCTGGCACGCCCATTCAGAACAATGTGCTGGAGTTGTGGTCGCTGTTTGATTTCCTAATGCCTGGCTTTCTGGGTACTGAGAAACAGTTTATACAACGGTACTCTCGGCCCATATTGGCCTCACGCGATGGCAAAAGCTCGGCCAAGGAGCAGGAAGCTGGCGTGCTGGCCATGGAGGCATTGCATCGCCAGGTGTTACCATTCCTGCTACGCCGTGTTAAAGAAGATGTGCTGAAGGACCTGCCGCCTAAAATCACCCAGGATCTGCTGTGCGAACTGAGTCCGTTGCAGCTGCGCCTGTACGAAGACTTTAGCAATAAACATTTGAAAGACTGTTTGGATAAGTTGGACGATACGGAGAATCTCGGTACCAAAACACACATATTCCAAGCCCTACGGTATTTGCAAAACGTTTGCAATCACCCCAAACTAGTGTTGCGCCAATCCGGCGATGAGCGCAGCAATGTCGTCGCCCAGCTCGCACTTAACAATAGCACACTGGATGACATCGAACATTCGGCTAAGCTGCCAGCCTTGAAGTAAGTGGTCTAAGATCTAAGTCATTGATTCATGCTAATCCCTTAATCCTTACCTTGGCAGGCAATTACTTTTGGATTGCGGCATTGGTGTCCAAACGGAGTCAGTCAGTCAGCACCGGGCACTCATCTTCTGCCAGTTGAAGGCCATGCTGGATATCGTGGAACACGATTTGTTGCGCAAGCATTTACCCAGCGTAACATATCTGCGACTGGACGGTAGCGTGCCAGCATCCTTGCGCCAGGATATTGTGAACAACTTCAACAGTGATCCCAGCATCGATGTGCTGCTGCTGACCACTTTGGTAAGTCCAATCATAATTTTTGCCAGCCCCAGAATTAAACCCAATGTGTTGCTTTTCGTATTCAGGTTGGTGGCTTGGGTCTGAATCTGACTGGTGCTGATACTGTCATTTTTGTGGAGCATGACTGGAATCCCATGAAGGATCTGCAGGCTATGGATCGGGCGCATCGCATTGGGCAAAAGAAAGTGGTCAACGTGTATCGCCTAATTACACGCAACTCGCTCGAAGAGAAAATTATGAGCCTGCAAAAGTTTAAGATCCTAACCGCTAATACGGTCGTCAGTGCCGACAATGCTTCGCTTCAGACCATGGGCACCTCACAGATCTTTGATCTGTTCAATGGTGATAATAACAAGGCCAGTAACAGCGGAACTGCTGCAACAGCCGCTGGAGGCAGTGGTGGCATGTCTATGAATACTATCATTGAGAACCTTCCGGAGCTGTGGTCCGAGCACCAGTATGAGGAAGAATACGACATGGGCAACTTTGTTCAGGCTTTAAAGAAGTAGATCCGCCACATATTTCCTTCCCAGACTTGGCAATCAAACGTACACTCTCACAAATTACATTCAAACTTCGTTAAAGATGAGTCAAGCTCTTATTTTAATTTTATGAGCACTTTGGATATTTTTTAAATGTTTTTCTCTGTTCCTGTAGTGGTTGAAACTTGAAAAAGAAAAGCACTGAAACATATAATAAAAACATTTCGAGCTGAAATTAAATCTAATTTTGTTTTCTTTTTTATTTGCAATCTGTCTATATTAAACAATAAACAAATGTATTAGCAATAACTAACAATAACCGGATGGTTTGAACTCTAGTGATATAAATCCATATATTTACATATTAATAACTAAATCTACTCTCTATTTGACAATTCCAGAACGATAAATAGTTTTAACCGCCGTTGGCTGTTATTTGTGTTGTCGAGGAGTCCTAAAGCTAAACCATTGCAATGGTCATGTCAACCTATTTGAATATCTGTCTGCGCTCTTTCTCTGTCTCTCCCTCTCATTCCCTCTTTGATAAGAGGATGTTTTTAGTCTTTATAGATGTCAAAGTTTGTCATATACCAAGGAAACAGATGTTCCTTGATTGTTCTAAGTTTTTGACTAATAGCGCTGATGAATTTCAATATTTGAATTTCTGACTGTTCAACAGAGCTGCAATGCGTAGGTCCATACGTCTAATGTCTAAATGCCTCTATTCTCAGATTCATTTTAATGTTTATAATAATAATAAATCTGTCATAGGATAATTGACAGACTAATAGGGCTCATTATTTAAATGTTCCTTGGTTTCTATCGATTTGAAGCAGTTCAGAGAAACTTTATAATCAATCGATCCCATCCGCATGTAAAAATTTAAAAATATTAGTTTCTGTTAAAATAAGACTGTAACTTTTTAAGCGTTATGGTTACCTTAAGGTTAACGTATTCAAAGTTTATACTATAAAATTTACTTACTAAAGACCCTTTCCACTTCGGCGATCAAGGTAACGGATGTATTCGAATCGCAACTGCCAATCTATTTCACCACTATATTATAGGGATGGAAGTTTTGCAGAATTAGTGATGTAAGACTTTAATAATTACCAGACTGTTAGTGTGTCTATCAATCGGTAATTGAGAAACTTTATTTTGATAACTAAAATTAGATATTAAAAAACATAAAGCTGTTTCGATTCTTAAATAAGACTTTCCGCTATCGGCAACTCACAATTTTTTTCCGCAAACGCATTTAGAAATAAGCCAGATCTTGCAGAAAATAAGGAAAGCCGGCAACACCGGCAACACCATGGGACGCGAGGCTCACTAATTTGGGGTATCACTTACTAAATCATTTGTATGCCTGAACATTTGCATGTGTGTACACATAAGACCTAGGCATTTAAGTGTGCCTACCACAACGTAGAATTGTGTGAACGGTTTTAGTTTCGCATTGCTGAATCGCGCTCACATTTAATTAATGATCGTCGGCTTGCCTGCAACAAATATTTTATTTTAATTAATTTACCCTTTTAAATACATACATATGTGCATATGTACATACATATGTACATATGTACATATGTACATATACAAGTCAAATGGATCACTTTAGAGCATCCCTTGGATGTTATAAAAATAATAGAAATACAAAAAAAAAAATACATAAACACGTATGAATGTACAGGCAGCAAGAGTTACGCACAAAGGCACCTAAGCACCAAATACTCACACATGTAGCAAGGGACTGCAAGTGTGTGCATGCATGCCCGTTGCCAAATCATATTCTTAATGGGAATCGACGCTTCTACACCCTTCCCACAAATATTCATTAAATAGCTAATACTATGCGTTGGCAAACACTGTTAAAATTGCGTTATACCACTAACCAGACAACACATAGACCGGACACGTAGTGCAAGGCGTTTTGCATACTTATTTTCGAGCATCGGTTCCCAGACCATTCGTATTTGCTCGGCGCCTTTTTAGGCTTATGCTACGAAAATATGGAAACACAAAATCATTTCTCTTCATGCGCTCGACCGAGATGGTCCGGTCTATGTGTTGTCTGATTAGTGGTTATACTCTTCACTCATAAGGGGAAAGGGAGAGAGATAGAGTAACGAAATAGCAAATAGCAGCGCATTGACTGTCGTGCAGTGCTGTCATAATTTTTTGAGCAAATATAGCCAGATTGGCGCAAAAAAAAAAGCTGATTCAAGAAAATTAAGCCAAAGTATAGAACACTATTTTCTCAATTAAATTCATTTATGATTATTCATTAGTTTAAAATTGTTTCCTTCAACTATAGACAAGAAATATCCACTTTCAAGATAAATTAAACTAATATATATAAAAATTAGAAAATTATCAAACTTTTAAAAAGAGAGCAGGGTTTTAAAAAATTAAGTGATATATATTTAAGCTTTGTCACTTGATTTGTGCAAAATCGAAATAAACTTGGCGCTTTGAAACTTTATTCTAAGATCTTGGCGAAAATGAGGAGCTAACGCATTTTTAATTATGTTATACTTTACTACGGTATAGTTTAATTCTAAAATAGAGCTAAATTAATTTTTTTAAAGCCGGAATTTCCGTAACCCGCCGTTTACGAATTGTGACTTCAAAAAAATCAGATCTGACGGTAAAAAGGCTAAAATGACAGCCCTGGAGCCGATGGTTGTTTGTGCGCACATAAAGAGAGGGATAGAGTTAGATTAACAAAATAGCAAATAGCAGCGCACTGACTGTCGGCATATTTTGACTGCCCGAGCCAATAGAGAGTGAGCCGAGCACATACGAAAATACGTAGAAAATGTTTGTTGTATGTGCCTTGTGTCTGTGTTGTATTCAGTGTTGCCGTTTCAGCCTATTTAGCTAATGAAACAAAACTAAACTTTTTTGTAGGTCTTTAGGTTTAACATGAGATTTACCATTATATACCATGGGAAATATCATAAATTAATACTAAAATACAAATGATACTGTTAAATTTTCGTAAGAAATATTGGCATATCAAGATGCTAGCAAAAACAACTTGTATCATGAAATTTCAATTTTTGCAATAGAAATGTTATCAAAGTTAGAAATAACATGACAAATAAATCATTGATTGTAATCACTCATATAAGGTTTGTTTAAGAAATACTTAATTGCTTGATTTAAATATATAAACAATGTTCCTTACATCTGTACAGATATGGATTGAGCCGTCATAGCAAATGTTGCCATAATTACGAACTGTCAGAAAAATATATTAATCTAATATTAAGTTGCAGCGATAAATATGCAACTTCTTCAGACTGTCAATTAGATAAAAATAAATGCACAATTAGATTTAGATAGATGAATATTTATGTATTGTTTAGTTTTTGGCTTTTTTTTTAAAGTCTGTTTTTTTTTTTTTTTTTTTTTTTTTTTTTTTTTTTTTTTCTTTTTTTTTTTTTTTTTTTTTTTTTTTTTTTTTTTTTTTTTTTTTTTTTTTTTTTAAAATTTTTTTTTTTTTTTTTTTTTTTTTTTTTTTTTAGAATTTTTAGCCTATTCTAGCTTATATTTTTGAGAAATTTAGCCTATTTTGTCGTTCAAAAGCTGGCACCACTGGTTGTATTGTTAGTGACAGAACCCATCGCCACGCGCACAACTAAAGCTGTGTCACTTGTGTTCGAACACTGGGAGGGAGCAGACGTAGTTACGTAAAAATAATAAACGTTGTTGATTATTGCCGCGATTTTGAAGTGTCGCCTCCTGCTGTAGACTGGGGTTTTCCTTATTTTTTGATAGAGCGAGTGCCGATTTTATTGCCAGGAAGGTAGGAATAGTCTAAATAAAATAAAGTAAACTGACTATTGAACAGTGGAGTGGACAGGTGTTGCCAGGTCACGAGTTACGGTGCGTGGCAGACATCGCGCGATCCTGCTCAGAGTATTATACACCAGAGCTGGGTTTGACCTGCTGTCGTTGTTCTCTAGGCCTGGCCTGTGGGCTTTGCCAGACACGGTGAATGCCGCAAGACTCAGCTCTGAACATTATTCGCCGAATGCGCGTGCCTTAGCGTTTCCAGGCCGTCTGTTGCTTGACCGCCGTTTCCTGCTGCCGGGTCTTACCGCCGTTTCCTGTGGTTGTTGGGGGTAGTTGTGGATGGAGCGGCGAGTGGCCTTTGGCGCTTTGGTGGATGTACAGTAACGAGCACGTAAATATGTAACAGGCAGAAGTATAAAGTATGTATATTCTTGATCAGCACGACGAGCTGAGTCGATATAGCCCTGTCCGTCTGTCCGT